CCTTTTCATTTTTTTTTTTGTTGTTATTGTTCACTTTGGTTACTTTAAAATGTCTTGTCTCTCTGTCCACCTTAACGTTTTATTTTATCCAAATAAATAATTTTAGCGTATCATAAATGCAGTAATGGCAAGTCACAGGAGGTGGTTTAAGAGATTTAATTTTCTAAATTATGCTGCTAGCCATAGTTTTGTAATTTATATTAGATCAGACCCTTCAAAAGCTGATTTCCTATTTTATACCAGCCCAATTATTACTAATGATGGGCTTCTTTACCAAATGGAAAGACTAATAATCCTTTGAACTATTATGTAATTCCATTGTAGTTAGTTAGGGTGAATACCTTGTAGTTTTTTCTGCATCCCCCAAAGTGTTTGTAATTCCTTAAATTATACTCTTTTTGTGAGATATCCCCCCGGGTCTCCCCTGTTACAATCCCATAGACAAGGCAATTGTTACTTAACAGGGTAGGGATTAATTTTCTAACACGCCTGGTAAACATTGTGTGCGCCTGTGCCGAGTTTTTGCTTTATTCTCTTTCTCTGTCCTCTTTATTTCCTCTGCCGCTGCCTCCTCTTCTTTCCTGGACCCTTTAAAATTTGGAGCAGTGCATTTTTTAGAACATAGTTGGTGCTCAGTAAATACTTTGGGAGACGTTATCAAGAAAAGCACTTTTTTCCCCCATTAGTCTTCTATCCTTAAATGGGTGTTTCTGAAAAGTAGCTCTTTACATAGTCTCTCAGTTGTTACAGTGAGTGGACCTTGTAGCTCTTTATTGCTTAGCCTTTTTCTCACTCAGTCCTACGTACTACTACCCGGCAGCATGAGGCGTCCAGCACATCATCACTGCACATGTCTTTTTATGCAGTTAAAGTTGTCAGGTCATACAGTAAATTCTAGAATATGATTTCCATCAGTTTGCCCAGGGCTGTTTCCCAGTAATGGATTACAGTTGCCCCTTTTATTCTCTCAACTAGTTTTCTTACAATTTTGACACCAGGAAGAAGGAGACTTCAATTTCCAAAAAGCAGCCCTCTACTTTTCTGGGAAGGAAAAGCAAATGTTATCCTTACAAGTATTTGAAAATTAACATTTATTTACCAAATGCTTATATAGCTCTCTCCCTATGTCAGTACTATGCTAAGCTCTTTACCAAAATGAACTTTTTTTTTTTTTTTAATGGGGAAAAGGCCCTAGAGCAGGTGACTGGGGAGACTTTTTTTTTTTTTTTAAAGATTTATTTATTTATTTAGACAAGCACTGGGTACAGTCAGAAGCACGGGAGGGTGAGAGAATTCACCAGAGCCAGAACAGGGAACAGAACAGGCAGACTGACGAAATACACGCTGAGGGGAGCAGTGGGCGGCAGGAGAAGTCTGCGCGCCATGTGGGACCCTCCCTGGCAGCCAGGGATCGAACCGGCGCTGCAGAGGCTGCGGGCAGCTTTGCAGCCCAGTGCTCAACCTCTGTGCCACCAGGGGAGACCCAAATGAACTCTTTTTATCCTTGTAAAGCCTATGAAGTAGGTTTTGGTAATTCTCAGTTCATGGATGAGGAAACTGAGGCAGGAGGCTACGTAGCTTGTCAAGATCACACAGATTGTACTTGGTGAGGCCATGGGTCAAACCTAGGCAGTCAGGCTCCAAAGTTGATGCTGTTAACCATCCAGATACACTTTACTATTAAAAGTCATTCTGCAGGCAGCAATTGTAGATGGATAAAAAGTATTTAAAAGATAAGATTCTCCCAGAATATTAAAAGACTGCCATAATCTACTGTCTAAAGAGAAGAAAAATCAGTAGCTAATTGAGTAAAATTTTCTGACATTGAAGCATGGAAAGTGAGTTTTCCCTGAGTAACTCTCATGCTGAGGCATCTTCTGAGGGTGGGTGCGTTTCTGTAGCTGTGATCCTGAAACTAAATCGCTAGCTCCACTCTTTGCCCTCTTGCATTTTATCACAGCCAGTGATCCTTCCAGTATTCTGCCCGGGAATCTTCTTAACAGATCACTGGGGCATTTCCAGGGTGCCAGACTTTCCACCACTAATGCAAGCATCCCCTGTCCTGCAGCTTCTATAACATTTTCCAAGCTTTCCTTTAAGCCCTCATCGACAGCCTCCTCAAAAGCCCTTTCCACTCCCTGGCCCCTGTGACAAAGCCACATGTTTTAGATTTTCTTCATGGCCATCCCCCCCGCTTCCAGGGCCCTCAAATCTCCCTTGGTTATCTAATGCTGCAAAATGTAGTGACAGTAAATGTAGTAAGACAGTAAGTCATCATTCTCTGCTGTACGCAGTGTCACCTGGAGCCTCTCCACTGTCAAGATGGCTACTCAGTCCAGATTGTTGGGCAGTGACCTCTGTTCGTTTTTATTATAACTGTGTGGACTTCCTCATAGGATGGTGGTAGCTGTTTTTCCAGGAGTGAATGACCCAAGAGCCAGGTGAAGGCTTGTGTCCCTCACAGCTAACAGCATACCCCATTTCAAGGAGAGGGAAGGTAGAGGCCATCTCTCAATGATGGGGTGCCAGCCACATTGTGAAATAGAACATGAGGCACAGGAGATATTGCAGTCATTTCTGGAGATGTTGTCTGCCACCAGTGGAGAGAGACTGGAAGATTCTCCACTGTGTACCAAGCAAATTCCAATCATTTACATTTTCTGTTTTGTTGGATATGTTTTCATTTAAATATGCATGTGTACTTACATGTCAGCATCATCCTCGTCCATTTTTTGCCAGTACATTGTGGGTTTTTTTTTTTTTCATTAATATTATACTTGAAAAGAATCTGCCATCTATTTGAAAAAGCAAATTCTTTACTTAAAACAAAGAAGAGTCACATCTAATTCATATTCTGGTTTGCATTTACAGATCCAATACTGTAAGGATTTATTAAAAAATGACAGTGATAATTTATTCTCTTCCTAATGGTAGCCTATGAATGGTGATGAAAAGTAATTCAAAACAGGTTAGAAAATGATTTGCTGTTGACAACGGGTGTGTTTTGCAATGAGTAGATTGCTTTATACTTTAAGGACAAGCCTTATGAAGTATTAATTCATGTCACTGGTATTCTCTGAGTATTACGTCAGGCATTGAGTTTACATTGGCCAGTGAAGCCCTCTGCCCTGTGGAACGTGTCCTGTTGTAAGGAAGATGGACTTGCGCTTGAACAAGAATCACCACCTTGATAAGTGCTGTAGAGGAAAGGGTCTCTCAAGTGTCAGAAGGGAGCATGACACCCCCGCTCCAGAAGTGCTTTTTTAAACAGATCTGGAATTACGAAGACTTAGCCTCGCCGAGAGACACAACCACATATGTGCAGATATCTGTGGCTTGCACCACCCTAGCGTACAGATATTTCTAGGAAAGTAGTCAGTTCTGCTGTGGTTCTATTAAAAGACCATTGATGAACTAACTCTTGGATAGCATGAGTTTATACAGGCCTCACAGAGCAGAGGTCTGCATTTCAAGGAGCCTTTTTGACTTACAAAGCATGACTTAATTTTGAATAATGGTCATCACAGTTAACAAGTACAATTCAAGTAAGGGATAAAGTACCAAGTGGAGCTGTGCTTCTCCATGTATGGTCTGGTATCCCCTTTCGGGGTTTCTGAGGTCAAAATGATTTTCATAAGACTTTGTCTTTCCACATTCCTCTTTGTATGAGGGTAAGTGGACTTTTTCAGAGACTAGGTGATACCATTTCATTGGCACAGATTGAATTTTAGAAGCTTAAGTAAGAATTCATCTATCATCTCTTTAAGTCAGATATAGCTTTTTCATAACAGTGTTATGTTAATATGCAGTGGGTTTCTTATTTTTAAATGAATTTACAAGTAGTTACAAAATTGTGGACTTACGGAATGAGAGTTACCGGTAGATAATATCCCACATAAACAGAAGTTCTTTTAGGTCCTCAAAAAGTGTTTAGAAGTGTGAAAGAGCTGTGAGCCTCTGACGTATGGCATTCTTCTTGACTTTAAGCTTGTTACTTCATCTCTCAGAGACACAAGGAGTCTGTAAAATGGGCTGATGATCAAAGTACTTCCCTCATAAAAAGATTCAACGAGTTAGTATATGTCAAGAGGTTCTAAGAATGCATCCAGCATATGTTCGCTTTTTTTATTATTGCCATTTAATAGGAAAACAGAATTTATGTGACTCCAGACACTCCTGAGGCCTTGTGATTAAGAATTTCTGCTTGTGTCTGTGGCCATCTGTGCTGTTGTGGTAAAACAAAGTATCCAAAAATGCAGGAAATTAGATTCTGTCATCTTGTTTGAGTTGGGTTACAGCAGAAGTTTCTGGGGGCAGGTAGGGTGTGATCTTTGAAGAGCTGCAGTTTCCCTATAGTTTGGGTGCTTTTCCCACCCTTCTGCCCTACCAGTCTGTGCCCTCATCCCCACCATCATGGTTCTGCTGTGTCCAGAGTTGTGACCAGGTGGGCAGCTGTTGGGGGAAGAAGCTGCCCAGAGATTGTGCTCCACTTCCAGGTGCCAGCTGGGGACGGACAGCCAGCACCTCATCGCTCCCTCAGCCTTGCACTTTGCAGATGGAGATGGGGAAATGGAGGCCCCAGAGGCATAACCCTTCATGCAGGTTCACCCAGCACGATACAGGCCTCACCAGGATGACAAAAAGCTTTCTGAGTTGTAGTGGGAATAATACCAGGCTTAGAGTCAGCAGTTAGTTCCAGTCAATAAAAAGCCTGCCTTGACCTTCTGACGTTGAACAATGACTTAAGTCTCTGATACTTAGTGTCCTGACTTGTAACATGAAGGTGGAAATATAGACCATCTCGGGGTTGTGAAAAGGGTCCAATGGGACGTCACGTGGTTACCAGGATGAGACCTCTTAGCCAGTCTCTCTAGTCCTTTGCATGTCAAGTTTGTAGAGGATGCTTTCTGGTGACATAAACAATTCTCTTGAGGATCTAGAAGCCTGCCTTAAGTATTTTGCTGTATAGCTTGGTGACATTTTTTCTTTCTGTCTTCTAGGACAGCCCAGAAACTTGCAGGACCTGTGCCGGATTAAAATTCGACAATGTATAGGCCTTCAAAACCTAAAGCTACTTGATGAACTACCAATTGCCAAGGTCATGAAAGACTACTTAAAACACAAATTTGATGATATCTGATACACACAGAACTGTGAGCAAGATTAGGAGTTATATTCCAGATACTTAAAAAGGCTTTTTGCCTTGCACAAAGTATATCCTATGCAATTTCTGATTTGCTGTGAAGTCAGAAAGCAGGTATACACCTTTAGGTTTGTTTTTTTGTTTTGTTTTGTTTTTTTGCTGTCGTTCGTTCGTTTGGTTTTCATTGTAGGGGAGGGATTTTTTATATATATATAAACATACACACCACATGCTTGAAGGTCTTAATTTGGTTTCTTGGTCCAAGTTTAAGAGGTCCAAGCTTTCTATACAAATAGTGCATTTGCAAAAACCATTTTTCCAAAATGACACAAGCAGGTTTGGAGTGGAGAATTTACCCTTCCCAAATTTATGGTTTCATTGGCGTGCACGATACTGCAAACCATCAGAACACTTATTAAAGGGTGGAGGCACAGTGTCACCCGGGTGGGGGTGGGGGGCGGCCCTGGGTTCTACTGGAAAATGCCCTAAGAACATTTTAAAGAAATATTGTCACCTCCTTCATTTTTAATGAGTACAAATTGGCTGTTTCAAACTGTTCTTTTCCTAATTCATGTAGCTTTTGAATGACATCAATCCAGTACCTCTGCTTTCCTGTTGACGTGCTCTTGTTTTTAACTTATTTTTTTAACAACTATAGTACACTACCCAGAGACAGTGGGTCTCAACTTGTGTCTCTAGTAGAATGGTGTTTTTAAAAAAAATTAATGGGAAAGAAAATAACTTTATAAAGCCAGTGTGTTCTGTTTTGAAAACAGTGCCTCCAGTGCAATACTCTTTCTGGTGTATTTTCTCCATTATTTCACTTGATGTTCATCATTCCACAGCCGGCTTTGACCTGCCCGTGAGAACAGGAACCGCCACTTCTGTTTTAATTGCACAATCATAGTATGTCAGTTAGGCAGTTTCCATTTTAAGTTGTTTTTTACTTCACTTAAAGCAGAAAATTTCATATCCTGGTGGTAGAGTATTCCCTAAAAATAGCCCAAAATATTGTTCAACCATTCGACTGTAATGGTTAAATAATTTGGGATGGTTTCATGGGTTTCTTTTCGTTTCGTTTATATTTTTTATTTTCGTTTGAAAAAAAATTTCTAAAGGGCAAAATTTCTAATGGGTGCACATTTGTATGTCTGGTTAATTCTTAATATGCTAATTAAACATTTCCTATCTGTTTTAAGGTTAGACACAGGGGAGCTCTGGGGGACAGTTATCCTACTTCCTTGGGTGGATCAGACATAGGTTTGCAGTGTAAACACTGATAAAGTGCCAGTAACAACAATGGAAAGGTTGCAGAGGCATTAGGGAGTTATGATGGGGCCCTTGAAAATGTGTTTTCTGCGTGATTTGTCATCGCATTTGTTTCAAAAGAACCTTTTCAAATATCCCAGTATTGTTCCTTAGTGCTTTGGGGAATTTCAGACTATTTACACACGAATCACAAATGTGTTATCAGAAGTTTACAAGCTAAAGGGCTTCCCTTGTCTAAATTTCGAGTTCTAAGTCATTAAGTGTAAAACTGTTTCACCTGCAAAGTGTGTGCAGGCCAAATTAGGGGCCTGCTCTGGCTTTACCTCTTTTCAGAGCCAGCAACAGTATGTTGAGCACAAAATTGGTTGTCTTGGACGCAGCAACCTCAGATCATCGGATCAGCTTGTGCCCAGGCAGTGCGCAGGTTTCTGAAGAACAGGCCGCCTTGGAGAAAGCATGACTGCAGGGAGCCAGAGAGCATGTGGCCAGTTTTGTAAACAAACCAACTGCAGCCTGATGGATGGAAATGGATGGTCTGTCCTTTTCCCTTTTAGCGTACCTCCAAACAGTTATCTCTCTCCGAGAGACAGAGTCCCGTGTGAACATGCGCTCAGAGCTGTGTTCTGGTTCTTTAAAGAGGCCAGGTCAGGGTAAGACACATTAGCAGCTTCAGGGACATGGCCTGGCCAGAGATGAACTGAGTATCCCTCCTCCCTGAAGCCATTGGCTCAGGCAACCAAGAAGGTATGAGGGGGGCCGGGGGATCCTGCACTCGGGGCAGTCATGTTAATGTTAAGTTCACACAGAGCTTATTTCCTCATACGTGTGTATTAATTTATTTCAGTTTCAAATGATTTTCTTTTTGCCAACCGTTCAGAGGTTTCCAAACTAAGTTAGCGATTGAATTTGAGTCAGGGAATTCCAAGTAAAAAGATCAGATTAAGGTAAATTCTTTGTTCTGTATTGCTGCTGTGACTTCAGAAAAAAATTATGAGAGCTCTTCCTGGAATTGAAATTTCTATTTAATGAAGAAGTGTATAATTCCATTATTTATTGTTTGAGATTTGATTTATCTGGAAACTTAAAAAGAATGTTTTATTTTTGTTGTTAATAAAAATCCCAATCACATATCCTATTTAACAATAACTAAAATGTGTCCAAGTCAGTAACTGGTGGAATATAGGAATGCATGTGCAGGTCCGCATTGAATTTGGTCGGCAGAGAAGCATCCTGCAGTCACATAATGAACAGGGAGAACAAGTATTATCCAGAAAATCAACAAATTGTTTTTGTTTTTGTTTTTTTTTCCAAAATCTTGACTGAAATGTTCAGAATACTATCAAATTTGTCACTGACCCTTCTGTGTTTCTTTTGAAATTTATTATTTAAGCCTATTCCTAAATCTTTAGAAAAATATATTTGGCACTTACACCAAAGAAACCAGCTCATAAAAGATTATGATCAGTAATGAACTGCAAACCTCATCTTTTGAAAACAGAAGATTTTTGTTGTAAATATTTGTGTTCATACATGTACAGCAGAGTAAGAGTGTTTTTTAGATTATTTAATTCCCATAATTCTAAACTATTTACTACCAATCAATCCATGGTTGTTAGTTTGGAGGATTGGACTGTTTTGGTTTTCAATACATTATCAGTCACGGTCGGAACAGCGTTTCCGCTGAGGAGTTCAGTGTGCTGGCAGTAGCAAGAGTTCAAGTCCGAAGTGTGTGGGAGTCTAGCGTGATGTGTCAGATGCACACCCTAAGGAACAAGAGTATAGTTTAATGACCAGAGTGGACCACATGAAAATTGAGATTCTAACTTTCCTGCAGAATTGCTCATTAGCCCAGAATGTGATTGGGATGAGGCCCTTTGCCCACAAATTTAGCTTTCCTGTAACTCCTAGTGTGTTATACCATACTGTATTTTGTTCTTCTTTTGTAATGTAAGTTTTGCTTTGGGTCAATTTGAATTAAAAAAAAAAAAAAAACTTTAATCTGGTTTAAAACCTATCAGTCTTGTGGTGTTTCTTTCTAGTCTGCCTTAACTGCTTTATTATTGCCAGCTACTAGGTGAGAGGAAAACAAGTCTGTCTTTGCTTCATCACCTTTTTAGATAATTGGCAGTTTTGTAAACATGTAATCCAGAAAACGTCGGATTTTAGATCTGATAAGGCAGTTCTCCCCCATTCATACTCCCCTTTGGGAGCATACTGCAGATACCAGCCCACAGAAGACCCCACACCCTAGAGCGTGCTGATCCAGCACCATGTCTGGGCCCTACCTTGCACATCTGGCCTGAGGGCAGAACTGGACCCCGGTGTTCTAAGCACAGAGCAGGGGAAGCAGTTCACATGGGGCGCTAGAGGTAGCGTCTTAGCCTGCAGGAGACAGGAGCCAAATGACTTTGATTTCACACTTCCTCTATGGTGCATAAGCATGACTTGATTTAGGAGAGACCTCAACTAGTATGAGTGATGGTGTGCTAAGGGGAAGGGAGGGGGCAGGCGATTTAGCACCCCATGCAGAACTGCCGTGTGAGAGCCTTGTTGCAGACTTGTCCAGGGCTTGGCACAAATGAAGGCCAAGAATGGGACATTTGAAACTCTTCCTAATGATCCGCAGGGGAGTTCAGATGTGAAACATAGCTGTGTTACTTGGAAATCTTGAGGTTATTCCTTTTCCAATATGATGTAAGAAGTATATTGTTTTTTCAGCTGAAAGACAATTTACAAAAATGGCTTACTACCCAGTGATAAAACAGATTATCTGCTTGATAAAAAAAATACTTCCACATCCCACGTTGTTGGGTTTCAAGGATGAAAGAAAATGGATTTCTGTCATCTGCCTGTTTTTAATGTAGCTTAATTCTGTGTTCTCTTACATCTGACAAATTTTGATGTTAGAATTTATATTAGCTTAAATACCAATAAAAATTTTAAACATCCACTGCCAGATACTGATATTTAGGAATGAATTGATGTAGACTCCTAGGCTACAAAGGTAATTTGTCTTTATTCTTCCACTAGTTATCCTCTTATTACCTATAAAGTCTCTTTCGTCTTAGATAATCAAAGCGAAGGATCAGCAAACATGGCGCCACTAGATCTCGAGACTGTCCTTGGGTGCTGCTGGCCAGTAAGTAGCGTGCAAAGATTCGAAATAGATTTCTCTGAGATCATAGTGTGTTTTATAGATGTTTCTCTATCTGCCAGCAGAACTCTATAATTACTGAGCGACAGTTCACATTCCTGAATCCCATTTGAAACGATAGGTGATTAGTAGAAGGTCCTTTAAGAGCTCCCCTGTATCGCAATAAAATCCTGACCTCTTGCTTGGGCTCTGGTTGTCCTGAGTATTAGAGCTGCTCTTCTAGTTGCATTTATTCAGCTGTGCCAGGGGGCCTTGGATTGAGTTTCAGTTGTATCTCCACCGGCTGAGTGATTTATCAATTCTGAAAGCCTATAAACCATTTGGAATTAAGACTCAGACTAAAGCAAGTTCTTTCTCTCCTTGCAGATAGAACCTTAAGAAAAAATGTCCCCCGGTCGTTTTGTAATTATTATAAATATATTTTAAGTTTTGGTTTGTTCCAACATCTGAAAAATCACACCTCTTTTTTAGTGTTTCCTTTTAATTAAGAAGTGTCTTGAAATCCACATAAATGTCATTTTATGTCACATTAAGTAATAATGAAGTGATTCACTTTTTTGTGAAATGGTATTTTATGAATCAGAAAAAAGACGGCCCCATTGGAAAGTGGGTTTCCACTGAGGTTGAGAAACTCGCTTCCGCGGCGAGTAGCCGACCCTTTGTGACTGACACAGAGGAGCTCCAGCTGCAGATACTTCCTATTTTATCTGGCAGAAGGAGACATATTTTCCTTGCTGCTCAGTCTTGAGCTAATGTTGCTTTTCTTCCTCTGATGGTTCTGGGTCAGGTCAGACCCAGAAAAAAGAGGGAAAAAAAAAAAAAAAACCACTTGCAGGGCATGGACTTTCTATACATGACCATGTTTCTCTAGAAGTTTCCTAGGTTTCCCTCGCTTCTTTGTGACCACTTCACCAGTTATGATGTACACACGTCTGTGCAAGATACAGCCTCAGCCTCACCCCGCCACGCTGCTTTTGTGGACTCATTTTTGGGAGCCACATTCCTTGTCTCCTTTGCCTTTTCTAGGTAGGAACATAGCTTAACACCATTTGGGAAGAATGCGTAGTAAATTAGTCTGGGCAACTTGCATTTCCCATCTTGGGTAGCACCAGAGAGGAGCAAATGCAGTTGCTTCCTGGCTTATCACTGGTGTTAAGAAATCATGCGCTTTGGGTCTCCTGGGCAACCAACTCCTCGAGGACAGACCCTGGGTCTTATTTGCCCGAATGTCAAACAGTGTTTGCTGGAAAACATCTGTTTTCCAGATGAAGCTTTGGCTGCATGTGGCAGTTGGCCCTCAGCCAGTGACTTTGTGCCTTCAAGCCTCCAAAGAGAAACCAGGACCGAGGGAGGACATCCCCATGCCCCACGCCAAAGTGCAGGTGAGTGTAGTCCTAACCCCAACCTGCACTGCCTGTGGCAGCGTGGGCAGCCTCCTTCCTTCTGACCTGCCTCCCCACCCTCCCTCTGTCCCAGACACTGGGCAGTGGCCCCATGATCACTGCATGATCACGGCGGGGACAGGTTCCTAGAGATAGACCACCAGACGCTGACTGCCGGGGATTCTCTCCCCCCGGAGCTCCCCCACCACCACCAGGAGCCCCAGGTCACTGGTGCACCTTGTGGGGCACGTCTGTGTATGGTCAGCACCCCCTGCTCTCAGGGCAGCTGCATGGGGACTTCAGTGCAGCCCCTGGCCACCACCACCCCAATGTTCTCCACTTTTCTATAGACCACAGGGATGCTCTCGTTTTTCATGTAGTAAGGAAGCGCTGGCATGGTTGGCCCTTGGTGTCTTTAATTACTTCTCCTCTCCATTCACCTACCTGGCACAGTGCCTCCCATATAGTGGGGGCTTAGCCAGTATTTGTCAAATGAAAGACTCTAGTCCAAATCCTTGTACAGGCGGGATAGATGAGCAGTGAGTGGCTCTGTCTATGGATGTGGTGGTTGGTGGTGTGGGATATCAAGCTGGGTCTCCCACCACTAGTTCTGCCTGAGGGCTCTGCCCTCAGGTGCTCCTGTTTCCAGTGGAACAGAAATTGCCCACTGTGAACAGTGATAATGGGATGAGATCCATTTGACAAGACTGGAAACAGGGTATTATACGTGTACTTACTGGATTTAAGCCCATACATCCATCAAACTGCCTCTAACTTCCTCTGTTTTCTAGAAGTTCATGTTTGCCTCCACCCTGCCTTTTTCAGTATCATGACCGACAGCAACCAACTGGGGTTGTGGGGCACCCCCAGGAGCTGCTTTGCCAGCCCTGTGAGTGTGGCGATGGGGTCATGTCTCTTGCCGCTGTGTTTAGGCTTTGCCCTGTGTATTTACGAGATCAGCTAGATGAATACGTGAGCCGGTTGAAGGTGCCGCTGGCGTTCACACGTACCTTACCCCTCAGCTTTCATTAGAGTTGAGACTGATAATCCACCCACCTTTGCATCATATGCTGATCCCTCACACGCATAATATATATTTCCACTGAGAGTTGGAGACTTGCAGAAGAAAGAGGAACTTGGATAATTTTGTCTTTGAAATAGTTGAATTGAAATAAATATCCTTGATCAGCAGATACAAAAAAATACTTTATTAAATTGAGGCAACATTGGTTTCTATCACTATGTATGTTTTAGGCTCACAACTCTTCAAATGTATGTTTCCACACCACTCCCCACCACCAAAGTACCAATAGTCCCCCACCACCGTTCATCACACCCCCTCTGCTCTTTGCTCCACCTGCGCATCCCAGTAACCTGGGTTCTGCAGTCAGAACGCGAAAGGGTAGGGTTTGGTCTTGCCTGTTCTGCTTTGTTTCTTTCACATTCACAAGGTTGTGATACCATCTTGTAGAAACCAGATCTTTATTACCTGGAGGTATTTCCTGAAGTTCATAGAAAAAGCTGATCAGTAAATTAATCTAAACGTTTCTTAGAGCCGTAGAGCATTATGTCTAGGAATTAATAAGTTGGACCCGTTGATGTAGATGCGGTGGCCAGTACAGCTGCTGGCATGGAGGATGTTCTGTCGTTAGTTTGCTCTAACTCATCAGCCTTGACTAGGGTAATGATGCTTTATTCTAGAAAGTACCATTGGCTCAAATATACTATCCATAAAACATTGAGGTCCTGTGGTTAAAATCACAATGCTCATGTCAATAACATGCCTGTCATTTCTCTTCCAACTTCCTGTCAACTGCAATACCGGGTAGATTCGAAAGTCACGACCACCACCTCACACCCATGCAGGTGCTCCTAGGGCGTGCAGCGTAGCAGGTACGACCTCACCTGCAGGGCTGATACCAGTGTTACAGACATGGGAGTGTCTTGCCTCTCGCATCTCCTTGTAGGGAAGTCAATCCCTGGAGCAAGTGCCAGATAATGTCCACAGTCCCTTGACTAACTCCCAGCTAAACTGGAGCCTAGAACTGAGCCAGGCAGAGCAGGACCTGGGTGATCCTTACCAAGGAGCCTACAGGAGTGGGGGGCACTCTCTTGCTTGGGCTGGCAGAGCTTTCCGTGTCCCACTCTGGGCCTCGGAAGCAGCAATTCAGCTGCAGCCTTTAGTCTTAAATTTGTGGGTGAGCTTATCCACCCTGTAATGTGAACACTTTGGTAACACCAAAAATGTTACCGCCCACCCCAGAGGGACAGGAGTGTGTGTGTGTGTGTATATATACTAAGTATTAAAATCTTAGATGAAAAGGGATGAGGGTGGTGGGTATGACTCTCCTGTCCTTGGCCTTGTTAGGAAGCCTCTGGAAGGCAGAGACCCAACCTTAGGCTGGGTCAGTGACAATATCTGTGTTTGTTCACCAGCTTCTCAGTATTTGGTGAGGAAGGGAGCAGGTGCAACCGGGCTCCATGGCCTGGTACCAGTAAGAACACAAGTGACCTCTAAAGCTAATTCACGTTTTTCATTTTGTTCTCCTCACCCCGG